AACCAACGAGATTTTATATATACACAGTGTAGAAATATTTACACATATATACGAGGGTATATATTATGTATGTATGTGTACATACACCATACATCTATATCCTAATTCTGTCCATTGAGAGGTCTTAGAAACAATGGTACCCCAATAGCAATGAGCAAAGTAAGTCCCCAAATCTTTGATTTTAAATATCATGTTTTACAAAGGCAAAAACAGGGCTCCTTGGAGGGACAGAGCAAGTAAAGCACAAGATGAACCACGAACAGCTTGTTCTGCTAGAAAGTCCTAAGAAAATGTACAGTAAGTTAGGCTCATGATAACAGGCACAGAAGCCAGCTTGAAGGGGCTCTCCTTGAGTAAACTGGGATAATTTAAACAGACAGTAATAGGAACAAATCACTACACATTGAATAAAATAAAAATCTGGGTCATTAGTGATGTAATCAATAAATGGGGGGCTACCTTATAAATAAAATACCATTAACACATATAGAAGTAATACTGGAAATAAACACCATTTGCCAATCATCATAAAAGTGGTTAATTAAAATAGCAGTCATCCATGATACCCACTAAGGCTAGTAAGTAGAAACAGGAAACCCGCAGTTTTGGAATATATCCCACAACCACTAATTACACAAAGACACAAATATGACCATGTTAACATTACTGCAAGTGACATGGTTTGATATTGTATGCCTCCAGATGCAATGTATTTAGAGGGGTACACCACCATTTCTGTGATACTTCTGCCAAGAAAGCATCACCCCACTGGGTCATAAGGATATAGTACACAGAGGTAGGATGGGGGTCATCCTATAAAATGCAGTTTGTCCTTTACAAAACTGCCAAGGACAGAAACGATATAGAAAACAGGCTGAAGAAGTCTAAAAAGATATTAAAACTAAATATGTATTGTTAGAGGCCTGCATAATATAGTGCCTTGTTTTTAAGAGACACTGCAGTATTTAATTAAGGGTGACAGGATAGCATGTCTACAATTTGTTCAAAAGGTTTAGGGAAAGACTGATAATGAGTACCTGTATGTATGGAGAAAGATGGCAAACAACAGAAATACAGCAAAATATTAATAATGAGAAAAATCTAGGTGAAGGGCACACAGCTCTTTGTACTGTTCTGGCATTCCTTAAGTTTGAAATTATTTCAAAATGTCTTTTTAAAAACCTAAAATAAAGATGGGATATGGAACATTTAGCACTAGAGTAAATGTGAGTCAGCTACTGTCTTAGGCCAGGATACAGAATGAAAATTCTGCCTTAATATGTTTGTTTACATATATTCCTTTACCCTACTCTGAGTAGATGCACTGACAATGGTTTAATGCCTGCTTGGAAAACTAAGCGCATCTCAATGTTTTACAAACTTTCTCTTCATGGATTTTAAATGTGCATTTACAGCTCAATGAGGAAAAGAATCAACTTCATCTTTGTAGTCCCACCACCTAATACATATAATATTTAGTCAATGTTATCTCCTTCAATAGGAACTCTACCCTATCATTGTGCCAATCAAAAATAAAGGTACTTGGGCAATATCAAGTGTTTTGCTACACCAAAAGGGAAGATCTATGTCAAGTTAAAACGTGTATGTCAAACTAAGAATAGAAGATCAACTAATACCTTTCTCAAGAACCTGAGAAGTATTACTTATTGGTTCTATAGTCCTAAAGACAGGAGAGTAACTAGTAGTAAAAGGCATTGGCCTAAAAAATGGCAAACTGTTGACAATTTTGGTTAAAAAAAATAGAATAAAATGTTTAAAATACATATGAAGGGGCTGGGGATTTAGCTCAGCGGCACAGCACCTGCCTGGCAAGCGCGAGGTCGTGAGTTCAATACCCAGTACCGGAAAAAGCCCAAAATAAAGAAATAAATAAATAAAAAATAAAATATATATGAAATTTGGAAAAAAGAGCTGACAGTGGGAGACCATGTTAAAGAAAAACGTGAAAGGTGTGAAAGAATTAAGTTGAAGTGTATCAAATTGCTGGTAAGTCACATCCCCTAATAATAACATAGGAAAAAAATTAATACTATAAGACAGTATGGTTTTTAAATGGTGACAAAATATTTGTAGGACTACTTTAAAAATGAAACAATGTATGTAAAACAGCACAGTTGGCACAAATTAAGTACTCTATAAATGTCACTTATTTTTATAGAAAGGATGCAAAACAACACTGTAATAAAGTCGTGTCTTAATCTTTTTTTTTTTTTTTTTTTTTTGGTTTTTCTCCGGTACCGGGAACCGAACTCACGACCTTGCGCCTGCCAGGCAGGCGCTTTTGCCGCTGAGCTAAATCCCCAGCCCCAGTCGTGTCTTAATCTATATGAGGAGTCTAAGGCAGACAGAATCACATCAAATATCTAGAACGGTAAAATTAAATGAGAAACAGAATCTTGACACATTCAGCCTTGCAGATTCAAAATATAACACTGAGTTTCACACACATAGTAGATGTTCAATAAAGGTTTATTGGAATGAAGTGTGCATGAAAGTTATCTGGAAAAGAAGATAAAAATAAGGCCATCTGAGATTGTCTGAAGGATAAACTGAGAGTCCAAAATTACTGTTCCCTAAGCAAGTCACATTGAGAAAAGGACTTTTAGAATAGTTTTAAAAGTCCTTTTAGAAAAGGACTTTTAAAATACTCAAGCACTTTTAGAACAAAACACAAAGACTCCTTTCGGGCTGATCTCTAATAATGACTGAAAACACTCTCAAATCATTTTTGTCAAATGTGTTGTATGCAGAGTGTAATATCTGAAAAAACATTTTACAAGTTAACCTAAAAAATGTATACATCTTCAGGGGTGAGGGTGGGATTATCCAAGTATTGAGGAACTTTTTCTACTTTGCACTCAGGGAAAACCAGGTACACTTAATTCAGTTCTTCCATCTACTATATGTAAATATTTAAAAATTATCTCGAACTTTTACCTACAAGTAAGCTGTAAATCTACATATTTCACTTTCCAAGTTTGAGTATACACCCATAGAAGGAAGAGGAAAGAACACCAACTCTCAGAAGTGGGCAGTGCTACAGAAGTGTAAAACTTACTTTGCTGTCCCAGAAGCTACTTGTTACAGCCTTGTTTATGACACAGTCTGGTATCAGACTCTTTTTCATAGTATAAACTCAGAACGCTCAGAGCCATGGGTGAGGAAACAAGCAAATATGAAAATATTATCTTATGTTTCTCATCCTACCCTGAAGAGGAATCAAAATTTTTTTAAAGGTTTCTCCCAAGTTATTGTCATCACCTCACTACAATACTATCCTTATTTGGAAACTGATAAATTTTACAGAATACAAAAGCCATCCCCTGAATAATACACGCAACTCTGTCCCAGCACTTGGCGTCTGTACCAAATAAAGTATATTTCAAGAGAGATAGATGAAGCTACGTCTCCTCAACCTACTTCAAACTAAAATCTGTGAAGGATAAATTACAAATCAAATAAACAGTCAAAGTAAACTACTGAAAGGAGGAGTTTATTTGGGGGGAGACATTGAGTACACTTAATTTAACAAAATAACTACGTTTTTCAAGAAAACCAAATCACAGAAGCTACCAGACTGCATCACAGAGCAGTATACAGAACAGTAACAATGAATTTGCAATGTACAGAGTATGATGATTTTTTTGGGGGGGGGTTGGGTTTTTAGGATTTTTTTCCCGGTACCGGGAATCGAACTCACGACCTTGGGCTTGCCAGGCAGGTGCTGTGCCGCTGAGCTAAACCCCCAGCCCCAGCATGATGATTCTTAAATTATCATTTGCTTTCTATGGTGCCTTGAAAAGTAGTATGTGCCTGGAATCACATGAGAGCTACTGTCCAATTACTGATGGCATTAAAATTGTATTTTAATTTAATTTCTGGAAAGATCTCCAATAGCTTAGGAAGTAAACCGAATTTTAATGAGAAAAACAATCTCGTAAAAAAAATCTGAAAATATACATTAAAGACATTCGGTTTTTTTAAACTAAGAAGCAAGGAGCTGATAGGCACCAAGATGTGTAACATTTGTTTCTGGTTGACACATATTAGTAAAAGAGGCTTTTGTGACATGAATGACTGAAGTGAGTTTATAAAATACAATGTGACATGATCTTCAAAAAATCACCTTAATGCTAAGAATTTTTTTTAACCACTTATACGTCTCCACTAAAAAGCTTCCCGCACAATGGTTTTCAAACCAGACACACACATTCACACTTGTAAATTAAGAGTCAATCAAAACATTAAACATTAGCCAAAGGTATCCAAAACCCCATTTGAAACATCAGACTTGTTTTCACATTCGTTTCTCAGATCTACTAGTAAAGATCTTCTGGAATGGGTCTTCGTGTCAATACAAGATTGTTCGCATGCTACTCGAGTCTAATGTAAAAAACCTCCACAGAAGATGCTTAATTACAGCTCTAGCTCCAATTTCCTCCGACTCAAACAGCAACGCAGAGAAAACACTTCATACACATAGTTAGGAAGGGAGAGGAAGGAGGGTAAAGGCGGGGGGCGTCCCTATTGTTTTGGTGGCAGCAGAAGCAAAAAACAGGTTCACTGGAGCATCCGCACCTGTCCCCACCCACCGCCGCCCGGCAGAGCACCTTCCCCTCCGGCTGGCTCCAGGCTCCGGTCCCGAGGCCAGCAGAACCCGAGGCTTTCCTCACGGAAGAGACCCGCGGGGAGGACGGCAGGAAAAGACGGAGGGAGAGCACGAATCCTTTAAGGACAGGGCGGCAAGGCGCTGCATCCAGATGGGGAGGATGGGACGCGCCCCGGAAAGGGAGGCTGGCCAATCCGCCGGGAGGAAAGCCCCCCGGGGCAGCCGGAGGATGCTGCCCGTCCGGGCGTGGGGACGGACGGACAGTGCCCACGGAGGAGGGCGAGGCACCCGCTCGGCCAGCTCGGAACGCGGGAGCCCGCAGCGGGCCGAGCGCGCCTCGCACACACCCGACCGCGCAGCTCAGACTTACGGTTACTTCTCGGGCCGCGGGGGAGGGCGAGGAGGACCCGCAGGTCTGCAGTTCTGCCTCCGCCGCGGAGCCGGCGACCTCGGGGACCCTGCCCGCCCCACCCACCCGGACGGGCGCCCCCTCCTCGTCGCCTCCGCGGCGCCCGCCGGGCGGAGGCTGCTGGGGCTGAGCGCGCACTGGAGGCCCGCAGGAAGCGCTGCGTGAGCCCGCGACGCCGCGGCGAGGCTCAGGCCGGGCGGGCGCCCCCCATCCCTCTCGGCCGCCGCGCCGCCTCTCGGGGGAGGGGACGAGGGGGCGGTGGCTCTTGCCTCCGCCTCGCGGTCAAGTCCGGCTCATGCCGGCGCCTCGCGCGCGCGCGCAGCCCCAGCCTCCCTCCTCCAGGCTTCGGCCTCCTGCCCTGCCGCGGGCGCTCCCGCCGCTGCCACAGCGGTCCCCCGGCCGCCCGCCGCCGGCTCCACAGAGCCTGTAGCCCCGGCGAGCAACAGCAGGAACAGAGACAGCGCCTCAGCCGCCGACCCGGAAGCTGTTCCGCCGCCAACCGCGCGGCGCCGAGGGGTGCCCCCCGGAAGTGGTTTCCTCGCCCGCGTAGCGGCGGGAGAGAAAGCTGAGGCCTTTGGAGACCTGGAAGCCCGTACTTTCTGGACACCGGGAAGAGCAAACGATGCTCAGTGGCGAGGAAAAGGAAGGACAATAAAGAGCCGATGCGCCGGAGGTTCTCCAGCTGCAGAAAACCGAGCTGTCGGGGTGAGGAGCGCCGCGGGCCGCGCCGGGCGGCGTCTGGTGGCGGTCAGGGTCTTCCTGCCGCAGGAAGTTGGGCCGAGCCGCGCTGCCTGGAGCCGGGAAGGAGGAGGGGCGGAACGGTGACGGTCCCCCGCCGCCAGGTGACCCGCCCCGTCCGGGAGGTGAATGTAGCGGCCCGCGGGACGTCGGCCGCCCGCCCGGGGGAGACCGCTGGATTTCCTTCGCGGAGAAGAGGAGAAGCGAGCTCCAGACGCGCGCGCGAGCGAAGCTGGGGTGGGAGACCGAGTGATCTCCACGTCTGGTTTCTCCAGGCAAGACATTTCTTTGTTAAAAGTGCTTACGGAGAACTCGCAGTCACCTTTGGGGTGGAAACTCTTTGGGCAAAGCCACTTGCAGATTTCCCGTGAGGGGGCAGTGGGGGGCGGCGGCGGAGGAAAACCTCCGAGGCAGAGTGTTTTGGGTTGTCAGTGTGGGAAAAGCGATTCACAGCTTGTCAGCTAGCTCACTGCTTCCTTCACTACCTTTCTCCCACGTTTAGGCTTTTCTGCTTGCTTTCTTTGCCTTTTTTGCATGGTATGGTTTTTTTTTTTGAGCTTCACCAGAAGTCTTTACCTGCCCTAACTCTGGATCTGAGTTTCATAGCTTGGCCGCTGTCTCGGAGAGCGGACGTCTTCACACTTCTCAAGCGGACTGACACGCTGCGGGGGTTACCCTGCCCATGGGCACCAACTGGCAGGTGCGCCAACTCGCAGGTGCACACGTCCTCTGCCCACCCCTTTCCTAGGGAAATGGCCGTATGTGTTTTCAAACGATCTGTTATGTACCACCCCCGATTGAGGACCATTTCCACCACTGTATTTACAAGGGCTTATTAGATTCCTGTAGCAATATATCACCATATGGAGCGTTTTCCCTAGTAAGCCGTTTAACAGACTTGCCCCATTCTTCCAGTACTTAGTCCCCAAGACTCTATTAGAAACGCATTCTTGACATTCAAACGGTAGTTATACCTTTCTATTATTTTTAGCTTGTTACTTTTTTTCATTTGTGATTGCCATAACAGCTTTGCCTTCCTATCGTAGTACTTTTTGATACTTTCTGTGATTTCAGCTTTTGCTTCTGTCTTTAATGTCACTGGGGGAATACATATTTAAAATAGGCAAGTAGCAGTATTTCTTGAAAATAAATTTTATTCTTTTAGGGATAAGGACACATTAGATTTTTAAATTTTTTTTAAATTTTTTTATTTTCTTGTTTTTTTCCAGTACCAGGAATCGAACTCCGGACCTTGCGCTTGCCAGGCAGGCACTGTGCCGCTGAGCTAAATCTCCAGCCCCTAAGATTAGATTAAAAAAAAAAAAATACTATAAATGATTAGTATTAACAATGCACTTTGCTTGTAGATGTTTTCCTATTGTGCGTTGACCAGGATAGGAAAATTAACAATTACTTGATTTCTCATTTTAGATGCTTAATAGAAAGAATTATGCCCGTAATTGTGCCATGTATGGTACACAGTGTCTCCACAATACACTATCCTTTTCCTGGGCTTGTGGTCTATCAGGGGGTGGTCAGACATATCTTTATTATTATTTTTTGTTTTGTTTTTTTTTTTCCGGTACCGGGAACTGAGCTCACGACCTTGCGCTTGCCAGGCAGGCGCTTTGCCGCTGAGCTAAATCCCCAGCCCCAGAGACATATCTTAATTTGTAGAGTTTTATTACTTTTAAGTAAATATTAATCTGAGATGAAAAGTAGTTGCTGAGTAGAAATTTAGAAGAGAAAAAAAGCCTCACCCCTTTCACATGGTGTACAAAGCTTGGTTGCATGGAATGATTTTCAGTAATAATCATATGAAAAAAATTCCATGAGTTATGGGATGAAAAGGAATGATATGTTTTCCGAATATTAAAATGAAACACCGTTATACTCCTGATTCACTAGCCTTTCAAGTGAAATATCTACATTTTTAAAAATTTTATTTTAAGCAGAAAAAAGACCCAAAATGTCATAACAAGTAAATGGGAGAGTAACAATGATTAATACATTGCATATTCTTCTCTTTAAATTAGTTGCTCAGTGTACGAGATACAGGCATTTAATTGTCCAAAGAATATTGGCAGAAGCCTTTCTTTTCAATTAACTGAGAGAAATTATTAGTATAACTATCTTAACTATCATGTGTGTATATATATTTGTTGTTGTTTTTTTTTTTTTTTTTGCTTTTCCCGTCTTTCATTTCTCCTTTCCCCCATCCTAGTTTCTCTTTCCTTTTGAATAGTTTCTTCTCACTTATCTGTTGTACATTTTGAATCTTATTTACTCTCCCAGCTTCTCACACTAGGGAAACAATATGGTCTGTGAGTCTGGTTTATTTCACTTATGAGTATGGTTTCAAGTTGCATCCATTTACCTATAAAAGCCTCCAGTTTATCCTTCTTTATGAAGGATAACTATTTTATGAAAGAGTACTACAATGAGTAGTACTCCATTATATACAAAGACCACATCTTTTTTATCCATTCCTTGATTGATGGGCATTTGGGTGATTTCCAAGATCTAGCTATTACAGATTGTGCTGCTATAAATACGGATGTACAAATATTGCTGTGGTACGATATCTTTAATGCTTCTGGGAAGATACCCAGAAGGGAAATACCTGGGTTAAATTGGACTTCTAGTCCTAGTTTTCTGAGGATTCTCCCCACTAATTTCCACAGTGGTTGCACCAGTCTACACTCCCACCAACAGTGGGGAAGCATTCCTTTTTCCCCACCCCGTCTCCAGCATTTGTTATTTACTAATTTGATGATAACCATTCTTACTGGGGTAAGGTAGAATCTCAGTGTTGTTTTAATTTGCATCTTTCAAATGACCAGTGAGGTTGAACATTTTTTCATATATTTATTTGCTGTTTGTATTTCTTCATCTGAGAAGTGTGTGTTCATCTCAGAGGCCCATTTTTGCATTGGGTCTTTAAATTTGGGAGGTCTGATGTTTTTGAATTCTTTATATGTTCCCAATAGTAATCCTTTGAGGAACAGCTACTAAATACTTTCCTGCATTGTGGATGCTGTCTTTTCACGCTGTTAGTGGTTTCTCTTGCTGCACAAAAGCTTTTTAATAAGATGAGATCCCAGTTTTTGATTCTTTGTGATAGTTCCTGTGTGGTAGGGGTTTTATTCATAATGTCTTCAAGAGTTTTACCTATTTTATTTTCCAGCAGATTTAATGTTTCTATTTTAATATTTAGATCTTTGATCCATTTTGAATTTAGTTTAGTGCGTGGTGAAAGGTACGGGTCCAGTTTCAATCCTTCTCATGTTCAGAGCCAATTTTTCCGGCACCGTTTATTAAAAAGGCTACCTTCTTTCATGTGAATGTGTTTGGCACCTTTGTCAAAGATAAGGTGGCTGAGTATGTCTGGAGTTGTTTCTGCATCTTCTAATCTGTTCTATTGATCTTTGAGTCTTTGTTTGTTTTGCCAGTTCCATGCTGTTTTTGTCACAGTAGCTTTATAGTATAATTTCTAGTCAGGGATCATTATGCCCTCTGCCTTGCGTTTGTTGCCAGAATTGCCTTTGCTATTCTAGGTCTCTTCTGGTTCCAAGTGAATTTTACAATTGTTTTCTCTATGTCTGTGAGATATGCTGTTGGAATTTTGATCAGAATTGTATAAAATCTGTATAACAGTTTTGGAAGTATGACTATTTTTGCTGTTTTGATTCTTTCTACCTGAGAGCAAGGGATATCTTTCCATTTCCTGATATCCTCTTCAATCTCCTTTTTCAGAATACTATAGTTTTCAATGTAGAGGTCTTTTACATCTTTCATTAGATTGATTGCTAGGAATTTTCATGTTTTTGAATGCTATTGTGAAAGGTGTTATTTCCCTAGTTTCTCTCAGTGAGTTTGTTATTCGTGTATGGGAAGGCTATTGATTTTTTTTTAAAGAGAATTTTAAAAAAACTATACATAATTTCAAAACAAGATGACAGGAAATGAACAGTAGTTGTTATATTGCATGTTTTATCTTCAAAATAGTTGTTCAGATTACTGGATATAGGCATGCAAAGTTGATCAAACAATTAGGCATTAACTGTTCCTTTCAATAAACCGATAGAAATTAGTAGTACAATTATCTTAGCTATCTTGTATATATATATTTTTTTCTCCTTTTTCTTTTTTTCTTTTCTCTTTTCCCCCATCCAAGTTGTTCTTTCCTTTTGAGCAGTTTCTTTCCCTTTCACTATATCTGTTGTACCTGTCAGATTTTATTTATTCTTTCAGTGTCTTATACTAGGGAGACAATATGATGTTTACACATGGGAGTCTGATTTATTTCACTTATGAATATGGTCTCTAACTGCATTCATTTACCTGTAAAAGCCTCAAGTTTATCTTTCTTTATAGCTGAGTAATAACTCCATTGTATACAAATACCACATCTTTTTTATCCAACTG